GAAAACTGTCCATCACTGACTCTTCAATGTCCTTTCGACTTGATCCCTCCAAAGAGAAGTTTGGTTTCATAAGGAAAAATACATAGTTTGCATCAACACCCTTTATACTCTCCTTTACAAAAAGGGGCTTGCATGAATTTGGATTATGTTTTATGATCTCAGCAAGACCATAAAGTTCAAGTCCTCTCATAAATTCTTTCAAATACAGTTGTCGTTTAGTAATAAGACTAATCATAATGGATCCCATGATATCACTGATATGTTCTTGGTCTATTTTACCAGTGTAACCATGATCAACAATGGTATCATTGTGGTTATCTAGATCATTCCGGATATTCTCAAGCATCTTCTTCTCCTGAGGTGTGATGTGCATTTCATTCAAGTTAGTGAAATCACTTTCTGGATTGACCATTGTGTCATAAACACATTCTTCAAGAAAACAAGGCGGTGGGTCTCCCTGAGCCAGACTCACAGCGACAATTTCTCCACAAGACTGGAAATATCCATTCTGTACATTGTAGGTGGAGTTGACGGGGGTACCACCAGGGAACATTATGTTCCCCATGTCTAATATGGCCTGTGCAAGAAACTCTTTGCTCATTGCTCCACTATCTATTCCACCTGTGAAGTGAACTCTCAGAGATTTTTCTGGGCTGGTTTGCTTTGATTCATGTTGCCACAGATTTAGTCGTCTTGTGAAGTTACAAGCCCTTCGAACCACCATAAAGAATTGGCCTGTGTTATCAACTCTCTTACTAAGTTCTTTAACAACACTAACATGGTCTGTTAGTATTTGTTCAGTTGCTGGTTGTTTAACTGATTGTTCTGCATCTTTATCTTGCTCTACCAGGTTGTGACTTCTTTCCTGCATTGTCAGATTGTCACTGTTTTGATAGTCCTCCAAAACATCCTGGTTTAGCTGATTATCTAATTCTCTTGCCAACTTCTCGTCCAGTTTTATTTACTCTCCAACTGTAGTAAGGGCTGTGGTATTCTCAAGTTTGGCATATTTTGCTGCTGAATGAGAGGTGCTTTCATCATCACTCTCATCACCATGGGCTGTGTTATTCTTGCTCTTGCTGTAATTTGATGCTGAATGAGATGCACCTTCATCCTCACTCTCATCATGACCTACTAGTGTATTGTTGTAATCTTCACTTGTGCACAGATACAAATAGATTCTGTTATAATCTTTGCCAATTTCTTCATGGTATCGCTTAAGAGTGAAGACTTCACTTGTCCCAGGCAAGAAGAGAACTTGCTGCCCGTCTTCATAAAGGAGAACATACGTCTGGTTTTCATCGTACAAGTTCCTATAATAAGCTCTCCATTTTTCTTCAGCTTTCTGGAGAAGAAGTGAAGACTTCGCTGAATTTGAAATTCGCAGTGCTACCTTCTTTCCCCTTTTTGGCTTTAAAATATTTTCTTTCTCATTCCACTCAAGCAATCCAATAAAGATAAGCACCTCCTGATCTGCTGCTGAGTTCTTGGTACCTTTGGCCTTTCCACCTTTGACTTTTGAAAACCACTGTTTTCCCTTGGCTGCTTTATAATCTGAAAATGACTTGATGGGTTTGGATGACTTGACCAAACTTGATTCCACTGAAGCAGAGAGAGTACTTGGTCCTGATTTTCCCTTGGGCTGTTTCTTGATAAGAAATAAAAATTGACAAGTTTTAATGTTAAAATGTCTATCATTTCTCCCCATCACAACATTTTGTAACCTTCCAACCAACTCCTCCCCCTCCCCTCCTCTATTTTCTAAAATTGATCGATATTTTTTGAGGCCCTCCACTCCTCTCCTATAATAGCTGTTATTGCAGTCGAGCCTGCGATGAAATATTCTTTCGTTAAGAAGGTATGCGAACAGGGCAAAAGGTTTAACTCATTGGTTAAAACAATGCAGATTGATCCTTAGACCTTTGTTCATTTGTTGTCGAAATTTTCGGACACAGTGAATTTACTCGGTCTCTAGTAATCATCTTATTTACAAATGACCCATTCGCTATTATAAAGTGCCAATTTTCAGCCTTTGAACCTTGACATTGTTTTTTAATGGCTACACCAAATTATATCCAATGAATTACTATTGCAAGTAAAAGAAAAAAAGTAATTGGTCGCTGATTAGGTACGGTACACACCTATCAAAGGTAAGTCTGGAGGAGGTAGGTTTGGGTTGGCATTTTGGCATTTAACCTGTATAAATTTGACGTACCACTCCAGTAAAATCGACTTGTATTTGGGTCAACGTGTTAGTTGCTTGATCGACACAGCCTTTCTAGTCACTTTGGCATGTGCAAAATAAGACTCTTTCCAAACCATTGCTACGAGCGCATGAGTCAAATCACACTTCAAGAACCAGATGAGCTGAAAATAAGCAATTTATCGCTTTCATTTTTTCACCCTTATCTGGAAGTTTTGATCATCAAAGTGTTGTCCTTTGGATGCTTTCCAAAATCCCACTGCTATCAACACGTGTCAGTCTAGTTCCTTCAACTCGTTAAGCCGCTATCGTCCATAATCTACCACATTTCGCTTACCTTTGCCGCAGCTCCAACAGAAGTTGCAGTTTGTGGCAATTTCGGTGCCACAAGTACTGCAATACATTTACTGATCCTGATTCCGCCAATCTGTTCACAAATAGCTACAAAACTGAAAACAATGGGACTTGAACGAAAAAATGGCGGTCAAGTGAAAAATCGAGTGAAAACTGGGGATAGTCTTTTTAACTTAGCTGCTGACCAGTGAGTAATGATTTTGTTTTAGTTTTTGATTTTGATGTGAGCGATTAGCAATTTGTTTTTGATGTGAGCAATTTGTTTTTGATGTGAGGAATTTGAATTTGATGTGAGGAATTTGTTTTTGATGTGAGCAATTTGTTTTTGATGTGACAGTTGTGGGCCACCATAGAAAGCAGTGTGATTCTTTTGTCGGAAGCTTTTCTGTTTTCATTTTATGTGGGTAGTATGTGAAAAGAATTAAAAGAATGCTGTAATTAATTGAAGTTTGACTTCAGGTAGATGTACTTGAGTGTAACAGTGCTGTGGAGGGATTGTAAATTGCTCCTTTGGGAATCTTAATTGAAGACATAACATGAAACGAAAATATAGAAGCCCTGGCAGCAGCCAGGGTGAAGTGTAGTAAAATTTTAAAGAATTCTCTGGCTAAAAGTACATATTAAAAAAACACAAGACTTCGTCTGCCCTAACCACAGTCTTCAACAGGCAAAATGAAGACTGCGCAGTAGTTGAGGCAGTTGTTAGGTTCTGTTTTGTAAGAGACAATATACTTTTAACCAGAAAACGCTTTTAAATTTTACTTTTATTTAATATGAAATGGTTGTTGATGGCTTTATTGTAATCCCATTGTATACTTTTGCTGTTATTTCGGTCTCGTCTCTAACTGAAACTTTGTGTATTATGTAGTTATTGCTAATATTAATGTACTCTTATAATGGGTAATACTTCATATAGGACAGTATAGAAAGTGAATGTGATTATAATATCTGTAAATAGTTTTGTACTCAAAGGTACGATCATTATCATCATTATTGCTGATTTCACACTTGAAGTGTTTTCATACTCTATTATAAAAAAGCTAGAAATTAAGTTACAGCCTAAGCCATTGTGTTAATGCCCTTTAAAATCCCAAGATGTGTTGAAAATTGTGGTGCAACTGTATGTACAATTAGAATTTTTAATTAGCATTATTTAATGTAAAACGTAGTGAGCATTTTGTGCAAGCTTATACATGTACATGAAGCTGTTATAAATTATATAAAAAAGAGAATGTAAGCGTCTTAGATTGAATACTTTTAAAATAGTACAAATAATTATTATACTCTATAACGTATTGATGTAAAGTTTGTTGTGGGCTGTGCTACATTTATATATTACGTGAAGGATTGGTGGTAATTTAGATGTCTTGAAACTTGTCTTGAAAAGATGAATGAGTGAACGTGCTCGATCTCATTAGTTACATGTCTCTAGCATAGGGTCAGAGAAAATTCGAAAGTGTGCTATATCCAGTTGCTCAGCGCAGGTAAATTAACCTGGCTCTTTTCTTGAGAGTGGAAATGTGTTTGTTTTAAGTGTATATTACTCTGTGATGTTCAGTATTCATGTGAAATCGGTGAATGTTTTCAGAAGTGGTGAGGGCAATGATGTTTGTTTCATCTGAGGTTTTACCAAGAATTGCACTAATAACCGCTCTTGATCCTTCACTTTGCATTTTCAGCATGCATATTATTTTGATGTATTGTTTGCCATAAAAATAATTTGTGTACAACTGTACTTTGACTGGGAGAAATTTAGTGCAGTTTAGTTTAGTTTTATTGTTGTTGTTGTTGTTGTTGTTTTTGTACTCAAGGTGTTTCTGGCATTGTACGTAGTTGTTTGAAAGCCTGGCCTTATCATCTAGGATTGAGATGAAACACATGCTCTCAAAGCTCTTTTGCTAGTGTAACTAAAAGATTGTTCAAGTATAATGCAAACACCCTTGGGACCAGAAGAGTGCCCACTTAGGATACAGTAGGTGGCTTTTCATAGGTGGTTAGAAATACATAAGCCATTTTAGGCAGAAAAACACTAGTTTAAGAATAAGATTCAAGAATTGTGTTTTGCAGCATTTGCTGTTTACGGGGTTCTAGAACAAGGCCACATGGAAACTCTCACTAATTTATAGCAAGCAGAAGTTCAATTCCACTTCATGTGTATTTTTTGATTACTAAGGTCAATGATATTAATCCTGGCAGGGAAAAAGGGAACATTTTTTTNGAATGACTGAATGATCGACAATGCATAAATTTTGGAGTTGATAGTGGAAAAAGAAATTCCAGTGCATGTTAACTAAACTAGAAAATACATGTAGTTAAGAGTCAGCTTGATTAACCAGTGCATCAGTCATGCATGACATGAATAATGAACCACATTATGGAAAACAAACACCGCATGTTACTGCGTACAATATCACTGACAATATTTTACCTCTAAATTTTTATCTCATAGGTAAATAGGTGTGTTAATCTGAAGTTACAACTTACATTAATATTAATTTACTGTTACGTCATGATTTGAAATTTTAAAAAATGTTTTAGTGAACTGGTTTCTTGTCATTTAGTCTATAAAAAAGAAACAATTAAATTGAAGAAAGGTCATGTTATTTTGAAATGCAGCAATATAATAAATTATGTTAATGGATACAATACACAGTTGTAAGGTCTTTATTGCAAGTGGTTGTATCTTACATCAATTCTTAATCAGTAGTCATGGCAGTGCTTGTGCATCTTGATGATAATAAATATTACTTTAAAGTACAAGAGATAAACTTAAAACTATGGACTAATAATAACTATATCTTACAATACACACTTGACCAAATCACTGCTTTACAAATTAACAAGTTTTTGTTACATTCAATCAGAGGCTCTGTTTATCCCGAAGATTTATCAATAGGACAATAAACAACCCAGAGAAGATGACGTCCAAGTTTAACTTGAGATTTTTCAACCACCATGAAAATACTCTTGAGGAATCATTCACAAATAGATTGCTACATGTACAACATCACAAACTGGTCACACCTGCCAACAACCTGCACAGCTTTAAACTCTTACAGCATTATGATACTCTTACATCAACCACACATATGCCTTATATCATTGTAACCAAAATGTTACATTAAATTTTTTGAACAAATCTCTCAACAGCTACAAGCAAAAGTTCACCACCAGAGTTCTAAGTCAAGCACACAGATGAAGACCACCCACAAAAGGTCCATGCTGCTCAACTGAACAATTAGCTGTATTAAATACAGGTTATCGAAAAATGCTACTGTTTATGGCCGACACCCTTGAACACAACTGGCTCACTTAATCTTGGCTCTGAGCTTGCCAATGGAATTCTACATAATTCACACAGCTTAAGACACCAAATGAAAGAGTCACACCACTCAACTGAACAATAACTTGTATCAATACATGTCATCAACAAAATACTACTAACATAATATTGTCACCTTTCAAACCCAACCGGGTCACTTAATCTTGACTCCGAGTTTGCCAACAGAGTTCTACATAATTCACACAGCTTAACAAAAGAACCATGCCACACAACTCAACAATAACTTGTATAAGAACAAGATTGTTATCAAGAAATGCTGGAATATTGCCATCTTCCAAAGACACATGGCTCCCCTAGCCAGTCTTGGGCACTAGGCTCCATGCTGCTGTACATAATGATACAACAGATACACATATTGTACATGTATAACATCACGTATTTTGTAAAACAAATCCTGCTACTGTAGTATACAGATCTGCTGAAAAGCAACTCTTCTTGAGACTGCTGGCCTCCATGGGCCTCTTCATTGTTAACTTACGTGTACGCATGTCGTACAATAATTATTATTAAGTACAATCCCCAAAGCTTCCCAGCATACATGTACTCTTACAACATACATGTAGTTACAGTACTATGCCACCACAACTTTCAATAAAAGCTTTGAAACTCAAAAGAAAGTTGTACTGACCTTTACTATGTCTGGACACTCCACCATTCTGTACTTTTGTGACTATACTACTGCATGTGATATTCAGTTTTGCCGAATCTCTCTTGACTTCCCTGTTTTCTGGTTGGAAACCATTGTGTGGTACTACCACAGGAGGGTGCTCAACTTCTGGTCTAACAATTTAAAATCATTTTAATTAATAATTAATTACACCATTATTGAGAATAACTCATAGTGATTGTGCTTTCGCATTTGCACTATTAAATGTAACCTCAACACAGTACTTACTGGGTGCTCAAAATTGTGAAAGTGAAAACTAAGATGAGATATATATTCTTGAAACAACTTTCTGGACATACTGGTCTACAGCTTGTCTCAAAGAATTATACAGAGCATCAGGGGTTCACTAATGTTTTCAGCTGGAGGGCAACTGGTTTTCACAGGTGGGGAAAATGATTTGAATTGAACTTCTTTATAAGAAACGTTTTCCACTAGATGGTCAAAGCACGCAGGCAAAATCATCCTCACAGCTCATCAATTTGCCCGGTGCCCAGTCCTTATTGAAACCCCCAGAGTATACAAATAAACATACCTGTTCATGTACATTCCTGTTAATGTTGCATGTATGTTGCATGCATGCAACATGCATGTGGCTACATGCTGTACCCACGCATACAGTATGCATACAGTTGTACAAGTAGCATGCATGCTGCATGCAACCTAAGGCCATGCTAGAATTTAACTTTTTTCAAGACTTACAATCCACTTACTTTTCGATATCATTCAGCAGCTCTGGAGGAGGTGAAGGTAAAAGTTCTGGTGGTGGTGATGGAAATTCCTGTCCTTCTCCATCGTCTCTCATCCCTTCAGGGATTTCATCGTCCTCTGGTGGTGGGGGAGGGGAAGGTGGAGGAGGTGACAATGTGTCAACATCACTCACTTCCACTGGCGACGGTGGTTTAGGTTGCGGTTGGTACTCAATGCGCACACAACCTTCAGGAACTAAAAGTTCTTCTTCAACGTCCTGATCATCATCTTCACCGTAATAGTTCAAAGGTGTACCATGTTCAAATCCTTCATCAACATCCCCCACTCCCTCATCAGCATGATCATCAACAGTTTCCTTGGGAACTGACATGTTTACTGCTGCCTCAGTTGTGCCAGCCACTGCCGCATGCAGTGGCTCTGCCTGCCATTCAAGGTCTGCCTCTGATTGAGCTTCAGAGGGTGTGTCAGACTCCTCCCTTGTCATGTCAGGTTCATCATCAAGATCCTGGAGTGGAATAGCACCCTTATTTTCTGGTAATGGTTCTGTGACAAACTCTTCCTCGGGTGGGGTTTCATGTGGTCTCTCTTCATGCTCAATACTTGTGGTTGGCCCATTTAGGGATGAAAGCTGTTTTTCTTCGAGTTCCTGGTGGGGTATAAGAGGCCGTGGAGGTGTGCTCTCTACTATCCTTGTTTCGACATTACCATATCCCGCCAATAACCTTGGTGATGGCTGTGAGGAGTTTCCAACAGAATTATGTCTTGTCGGTGTTTTCATGCTTTGCGATCTGAAATACAGTTAATAACATTACTACCACAAAGGAAGAAAGAATCAACAATATATGCAACAGAATACAAGAAGGTCATTATTTTAGAATGAAATAAATTTGTGTGTTATACTGTCTTTTACAGTGCCTATGAAGTAAAATATAATCGTTGCTTATCAGAAAGACTTTTCAAAATAAAGAATGGCATTTTTCTTTTTGAGGTACCTTCTTTCGTTTCAAGATATTCTTACATTTTTGTATTATGCAAATGAGGAAAGTGATGATGTCATAAACAGGATATCTCTAGAAATATTGGAGCAGCGTTCTTCAAACTTGGCACCAGGAATGCACAGTGTACATCACAGAAAATACAGAATGACACCCAACGTGCTATTAGATACTAGAGATTAGATACTAGAGATCATTGCAATTATGTATGCAACGAATAGGTAATTAAGGAAATAAAGCTAGAAAAAAAATTAAGGCTTGAACAGGGTTTTTCAACTGGGTTTTATTTTTGTAACTGCCTAGTAAGTTGCAAGTGCCTAACTGCGATGGTCTTTAATGTCTTTAAGCCTTTATCTTGCAGTTCTAATATAAAGATCATTCATATTCTCACTTGAATGAAAACTGTTTTCTGACTAATTTAACTAAATTAAATTTAACTATTCCCAGTGTTCATTGTGATTCAACTGATGACGGAGGCATTGTTTGTTTGTTTGCTTGCTTGTTGACTAATATATGTTTAATATTTATAGTTTTGTTTGTATCCCTGATCAGAAACACATGACAGGTTAACCATAAGCAGTTGCTGTCATTTGCATGGTACATGTAGATGGCATTTTTCAATTTTATCTTAATTACTGAGTTTCACATCTTTTTTCTTTCTTTCCTTCTTGTCATCAACCAATTTCATGTACATGTAACTGTACATACAGTACGCTGCAGTTGTTGCAGACACAAACCTCTGAAACAATGGCTGCTGTCTGAAGGTTGTCCGACATCCTTCAATGATTTGTTTTTGTGTTCTTCCACTATATCTGAATGAAGACCCTCTGCTTAGGAGTCTTGGGCCAGTCTTTGCTATAGGTTTGCCTGCATTTTGTCTGGAAAAAAAACACAATTACACACTGATCTTTTGTACTTTACACTTTTACCATCACAAAGTCATGTGACTAAGGACTAGGCGTTAGGATTTCTCCCATGCATCCACAGAGACATAAAAAATGATTTAATTAATCATCGGGGACTGAAACAAATTGGGTCCCTTGCTGCCATTTTCCATTTTTCCTGCTGATCAACATGAAAAATTTTGTACAACCACCAAAACCATCAAAACTGTACAACAGTAGTCAACTTAATATTACTTAATTATCACAAGCAAAATTGAACCAATCACAACACAATTTAAAGCAAGGCATTTGG